ATGACAGGTAATAACTATCAATTTGACTTCAGGGATGGACTATCTATTTATTATTATTTTTTTTCAATTTCAAATTACTTTGATATCAAAATTTGTCAATTTGTTATTCAATAAAGAAATTATAAGTTACTAAAATGAATTATTATCATTTTCAGATTAAGGTTTTTAAATATCCACCACCATTTACATTAACACCTCGACACAATAATCAACCATCATAGGAAGATGATGTACACAAAAATTATTTCTAATTAGAGTACCTATGTAAAGAAAGTATTTTAAATTATTTAATACAATAAAGTATTTATTTTTTTTTTTAATTTTTATATTTAATATGAATATAATATAAGCATTGCTTATATAAATAAAAAAATACACTTGTAAATAAACTAACAAATGATATTTAATTTTATAGTTTATACTATAAAACCAAGAACGAAAATGAATATTGATGTGTCAATAGAGAAACGGATACCTGTGTCATTATCGAAGACAATTTTAATTTTCAAAAAACCTAGTGATAAAAAGGAGAAAGTCAGTGAAAGAAAATACTTAAATTACTTTGATATCAAAATTTGTCAGTAAAGAAATATAAGTTACTAAATTGAATTATTATCATTTTCAGGTTAAGGTTTTTAAGTATCCACCACCATTTCCATTAACACTTCGACACAATAATCAACCATCATGGGAAGATGAGCTACCAATACCTGAATTGACAATCCAAACTTCAGGAAATAAGGTTACATTGTTTTGGAGTATGAATTTGTTTTTGGAGGCAGCAGAAATAAAAATGTATGAACTGTTAGTGTGTAAAGAAACAAATAAAGTTTCAACTTCATCAATGTGGAAAAAGACATCTATAACACCAGATTTGTTGCCAATGTCTTTTGAAGTAAAAATTTATAATTTAGGATATACTTACTATTTTGCTCTGAGAGCAGTAGACATATATAACAGATGTACAGATTTTGCTTTACAAAAAACTAGGATTTAGATTTAAGATTAACAATTTAAAATAAGCTATAAGTATATCTGTAAACCATATTTATTATTACTATGTTATTAATTAATAAATTAAGTATTTTACGATAATAATTATTTAAAGTTAAATAGATCTTTTATCTCTTGATTTTATAATGTTGTCAAGGTGCCAAGTAATAAGTATAGATATTTTAACTATTAATTATTATAAAATGTTTTGTTGAATTTGTTAGATTGAAAACAATGATTTATTGATATTTATTATTTTCACAAAAACATCTAGGACTTGGAAAAATGTATTTGAATTATTTTATCGCAACTATACTTAATTTAATGCTGTAGACAAATAGTTAACTGTTTTACAAAAACTAGTTAGTTGAAACATTATAAATTAATGTTTTCACTAATTATAAAAATCACCATTCGTTATAATTTAATATTTTTGATGCTTCAATACGTTTACTATAGTCGGAGTTTGCAAAATTTTATCTAGATCGAATAAAATATTATTTGACTAGATTTCAAAGTAAGTTAATTGAATAATTTTCGGTTATTTTATTTGAGTAAACAAGTTAATAATAGAACCATTTTTTATCATAATTATTATAATAAATATGTATTCGAATAACTTATAACTAATAATAATAATTAAAATTAATTACTATTATTACTATTTGACTTTTTTGACTTATTTATTGAAATTTAAAATTTGTTTTAATTATTAATTATTAAATATTATTCATGTTATAATATTGTTTAGTTATTATTAATAATTTGTTTTATTGATAATATTTTCAATTATCAACTATGTTTATTCAAATAAAATAACCAACAATTATTCGTATAACTCTGATTACAGTTGATATTTATTTAATGTTAAAATTATAAATTTAGGAAAGAAAACATTACGTTTTTAATTTGTCAATGAAATATACTAAAACATTTTTTTTTAAATATTTCAACAAAATTCTAATTTTTAATGTATAAATAAAAGCACAGATCAGTTTAAAATAAATAATTATAGTATAATCGGGTGAATGAAAAGTAGCAACTGGCAAAATATATGATAGCAACGATCTTTTTTCCGAAAAATAGGGGTCCTGAATCTGAAACGAGAATGGCATACAACATTAATACCATTATGTATATATATTAACAATTCAAAATACTCGCACTTTTTTACATTATACAAATTCATCATTGGGAGCGTTCGCATCTGCGATGTCCACTTTTCATTTAACCGACTATAGTAAATTTTATCAGGGCCAAACGCTGTGACATGAAAACAATCCGGTTAAATTATCAATATTGTTATAATTTGTGGCTAAATTTAATTTGCCCACCCACCCTACTCCGGTCAAGATCACACAAGAAAAAAATTATGACCATGGGAATCCAGTATATTTTTATTCGTGTAAATATTTACGATTTTGATTTATTTTCCATTTTCTATGCTATAACGCCTTATTAATCGCTTAGGTACCAATAGTACCCATCCATGTAAAAAAAAGGATCAGGTGGAACTAAATCCTATTCACCTCCACCTATGCGCACGTCTATGTGCACAACAATCATCAGAGGTATAGATTTCAATCAAACATATAAATATTTTTGATATTTATGGAAAACAATGCTAAAACATAATATTACCAAAAATTAAATGAAGATATTCTTTAAAATAGGTACAAGGTGTAGAGATGTAGACGGTTTACAAATATTGTTTGATGATCACAGTAAACTTTTTATTTTTAAATTCTAATTAATATTTTCTTAGATCATAACAGTTATTATAAAATATTATTTTTATTTTTATAAAAAGGGATTTGTACTAATTATAATTTTTTTTTTTATGACAAAGTTCCATTGTACATATTAGTAAATACGTCATTATAATGTAAGTACATCAAGTTTTTTGAAAAGAGGTTGAGCAAAAATTTGAAATTGTTACAGTAACTTATTAACAAAGTAAATGAAATAAAAATATGAAGAGAAATTTTTTTCCCTAAAAAAAATTGGGAATTGAAAGGGTTAATTAATACATATACACTTGTCTTACAAATAACTGGGTAAGAAGGCATAGTTAATAAAAATATTAAATGTATGTTTTTACTATTTATAAAAATAAGTATTTTTTATAATTTAATATTTTTGATGCATTTCTATGATTTAAGTCAGCCTTTTAAATAACAACATTTATATATGTATAATTGCATTCCAATCTGACCGGACAACAACTACTATAGTTTCGGAAATGATTTTTGGAAGGTATTATATATATAAGAAATCGTATTTGTTCTATACACCGGTCACCGATACATGTACAATACTGTGTTAAAGTATTTTTAAATTACATACGTCGTTGGAATGATCGTCTTATTGAATGGATGTATGTTATGCATTTATTCTTAATACCGAATTTAACATTTAAGTCACCTTCTTAAATAACATAATATAATGGTAAAATAAAATATATAAACAAATTATATTCACATTTTATTTTTATGTACGTTAAATTGTACCAAGTATAGCTATGTGATTTATCTAGTATTAATAAAAAATTATTTCAAGATATTCTCAATTTTCATCGTTATTATTAAACTATGATTTATTCTATTTAAGCTATAAATATGCATTATAGTATAATGCACGTTACAATGTGTTCGTATACTAGAATGTACCACTATTATTTAGTTTGAATAAATAGTATAAATGCATTTAGAGCTTCTCCCATTGGTCATCTTTATAATGATAAATGATTATACATGCCTATCTATATTATGAAGGTTCTTTTTGTCACATTGATATTAAATTATGATTTTTCCATACAATTCGAATGTATTTTTAAACATAAAAAATATAAACAATTTTTTTTTCGAATTTCATATACGCGTCCAAAGAATTCTCTTAATAATATTTATTTTTTTCCTTTTGTGATAACTAGTTTTACTTAAAATGTTGGTGTAATTATATCTAGTAAGTACTAAGTAATGAAAACGTAAAATAATAGTATATAATATATTATTTGTTTAATATATTATATGGATGTACAATATCAGCTGTGGTTAATATAAAATTATGAATTTATAATTATTGATTTTATTTTATATTTTTTTTTTAAGTACTAATAGAAAACAAAATAATAGAAACTAAAATAGCTAACCTAGAGGGAGAGTTGGCGACCCCTACGGTGTCGCGAGGGAATATACCTGCTCTTCGGGCAGACAGCAAGTTTTATTATTTTTTTTTTTTTGTTTATTTTTCCATTTTAATTTATCCAAAGACGCTTCATCTTGGATTAAGATAATTTTATACCATCTTATGCAATTTGGTGTATTATGTAATGCACCGAATTTCTGGAGCATTTCAATTAATGCCAATCCGTTGTTTTGAAGAGACAATTATTTTAGATCATATAAATTTAAACTCTTGACACTCATTGTATTAAATATTAGAAAAAACACTAGTTTCTTGTAGAACAAGTGCGATACTGAAACCTTTAGGTTTTAGATATCTTTGCAATCTTATATTTAAGTTGTTTTTCCCAAAGTTCATTTAATACATATTATATTATCTTAATAAATTTCGTTAAGATAAAAATAATAGGTATGTATTATACATTGTTCATGATTTTATTTAATCGTGTAATCTACTTAAGGTTAAATGTCCGATCGAGCGTAGTGATCGAGTAACCAAGCTTTGACTTCTAGCGTATGCAAAATGTATTTATTTTTTTTGCATATATGTATTTCCACAATAAGTTGTATCCTTCCAAATTTTGCAATTTTACGTTTTTACGTTTGCGTGGAATACCTATTATATACTTAAATGCCATATGGAGGTAGCCACTATATAATAATACTTATGTTACTTTAAGAAACGATCGAGTCTAGCGCGACCGGTTAGGTTAGGTTAAGGGGTAAGGGTAGTGAAGTTGGGTTACCTGTCTGCCCGAAGAGCAGGTCCCCCCGCGACCCCGTAGGGGTCACCAACCCCCCTCTAAGTTAACTATTTTAGTTTCGAAGGATTGGGGGTCGAGCCCCCATCCAATGAAAGGTCCTGGGGGACGTCGAGTTCGTCGACCGTAGTCGGCAGGCGAAGGGAGCCACTATGCTGAATAATATTATTATTTAACAGTTAGTTTTGTTTTAAAAAAAGAAAATATGTCAATAGTAAATATCAATAAACTGAAAAATGTTTAAAAAAAAAAGCAAAAAGGATTAACGCAATTGATGGATTCGAGAACGCGGTCCTTGACTATCAAAACCCCTATCATGATCAATGCACAACAATTCAATAACAATAAAACTGTGTCAAATTACTTATTTAAGCATTTTCAAAAACTACAATAAAACACTTATATTTACGAGGGTTATAAATTATAACTCAAAAATTAATGATGTGCGCAAATTTTTTTTTTTTGGCATCAAATTTTTCAAAATGCTTGAAATTGAGGATAAAAAAAAAAATGTAAAAAATGGGTGCCCAATAAAGTAGAAATGTTCTTAATAATGTATAGGTGCACTATACACTAATAAAAAATGCTTTTTTATTTATTTGAGGAAAACGTGGTTATTATTTTTTTTTTCGTGGGGAAAAGTGAATCAAAATAAATAGTTTGGGAACCGCTGACCCGAATATTGTACAAAAATTAAATACAAATAATATCTATATAAATGGTGTAATTTAGAGGGTTATTTATAACGCAGTATTGGGTACCCAAACAAAATATTTAAAAGATGTACCTTGCCGACAAGCTGGTAATCCCGACGCCGTTTGTAATAAATTTATTAAAGACTTTAATGTTGCAGTGTAATACGTAAATAGGAAAAATGCAATAAACATAAATTCAATTATTTCCAAAAACTGTTTTCAAGCGGAGAGTTGTGGGCGGACGGTCAGTTGAATGTGCAGATATACACATATAGATGGTGGTAATTAGTTAATTAGAAGGGTGACATGAATCGTAAAATCTGGTACCAGAGTCCTATCCGTAAAAAAGTAAAATACACCTTC